TGGCCAATGGTGCTGTGTGTGATACAGTGTAGCAAATTACACAGTATGGCTTTTCTAGCCATTGTTGTTGCTGTTGTTATGTGCCATCGAGTTGGACCCGACTCACAGAGACCCCTCCTTGGGTTTCCGAGGCAGTATCACTATGGAAGTAGATTACCCCATCTTCCTTCTGAGAAGGCTGGTGGGTTTGAACCACCAGCCTTCTGGTTAGCAGTCAAGTGCCTTGGGCACTATGCTACCAGAGCTCCCATGCTACACAGTCTTTGTAAACTTCATGGTCGAATTTGCCATGACCAACTAAGTAGCTTCTGATTGTTAGTTATCCACCTGAGGTGTTTCTGTTGTGAGTAGCAAGAAGCAGTTTTCTGGGAAGCTGCCTCTCGCTCTCAGGTGTGTGGAGTTCCGGTGCTGGGCCTGGTTGGGATTGGCTTAAAGTGAGCCCTCCTAGAGGCAGATGGGGCTATCTCTCACTGCTGGCTAAGAGAGATGCATGGCTGGGAGTCCAACCTGTTACTGCAAAACAGATGCCCACCTGAGAGACAGCAGCGGTGGAACCAAGAGGCACAAGACAGAGTGGCAGACTTACCTGGCCCACAGAGGCAGCGGCCAGGCCAAAAGGCCAGAGGCCACAGAGGCGTGCCTGAGGCCACGGCAGAGGGGAGGCTGTCCCAACTGAGGAACTGAATCCTGAGCGCGTTCCTGAATTTGACTTGTAGCCTGTTGCTTCCCTACTAAACCCCATAATCTGGGAGTGGGGTCTGTGAGTTCTGTGTAGCTACTCAACAAATTGTCGAGCCCAGCAGAGAGGTAGTGAGTGCCATGGGAGGGACGGTTTGTGTCAGGGTTGGTAAAAGGGCTAGAGGGAGGCAGCATGTCTGGCCTCGCAGGAATAGACCTTAGGCTGCTGACAGTGATTCTACCCTCCTCTCGTGGGGTTAGAGGAAGTCGAAAGATGCCACCTCCCTGCCCTTTGGCACATGAACACCATGTTCCTTACTGATCTGCTTAACAAGCCTCAGTCCTTGGATAATCAAGTGAAGAAACAATTAATCAGCTTCAAAAATGTGTCCAGCTGACTGCTGCTGTTTGAGGTGCCCCGTCCACTCCGACTCATAGCAACCCTACGTACAACAGAACGAAGCACTGACCAGTCCTGAGCCATCCTCATAATCCTTGCCAGAAGGCTGGCGGTTCAAACCCACCAGCCACTCCTCGGAAGGAAGATGGGGCAATCTACTTCCGTAGTGATACTGCCTTGGAAACCCAAGGAGGGGTCGCTATGACTCAAGTCCGACTCAACGGCACATAACGACAACAACAACATATTTGAACCCATCGTTGTAGCCAACTCTGTCAATCCATCCTGTTGAGGTCCTGCTGATAGTAGTCCATTATAAAAATGTAGAGTACACCAAATGCCAATTTTGTAAACACACACACACATATGCACGTACGTGTTTTTCATCTAGATGAAAACCACAGAGTCCAGGGGACCTCACTCCTCAGAGAAAATACCATTAAGCAATGGGCAGCTACCATTCCAAACAGTGTGAGGCTTTGCAGAAGAAAGAGTGGTGAGGGGTACATCATCCTGTGAAAAGGCCCTTCTGGGTTATCCCTCCAAGACCCTTCACTAAAGCCATCACCAGAGAGGTCAGGTGAACGCTCCACGGTGACGTAAACACTGGCAGAGTCCTAAAGGATGACTCAGAGCTCGCCCCAGGTAACCTCTTTCTGCTTCAGTCTCTCACTTCTACTCAAGACTACAGATTTCTTGATAGAGAAAACTCCAGGAGAAGGCACACTTTAGTTCTGCCAGTTCTCTTACCACCTGACTAAGAGGACAGGAATGTGCACAATATTGTGACTGTGAGGGCTCACTGCTTGGCCAGACACCTTGACCAGCTCCAGGATGACAATGCTTCTGACCCACAGGAATATCTCAGACTGCGGCAAGCAGGATCGAGAACACGCCAGTGATCACAGACGCTGAGAAGCTGACAGGGTGCACTGAGTTTAAAACGACAACTATGCTGCAAGTTTTTCACCCCTGGATTACAGGGGTTCCTTCATTACATCCACTTCCATTCCTCTGGTTTAGTCCCTACCTTCTAGGGAGGTTTTGGGGGGCCTCTTTTAAACTCCATTTTAAACCTAATATACTTTAAACATTAAGAAGTTTTTCATGTTATAAGCCTTAAATAAAACTTATAAGACTCCATTAATATTTCACCCACCAGAGGGAGCCCACATGGACTTTTTTGTTTAACAAGAAACCTCAAAGGTCATGTTTATAGAAATTGTAGAATATTATTCATTGTTGTTAGTGCTATCAAGTGGTTTCAGACTCATAGTGACTCTATGTACAACAAAATAAAACACTGCCCGGGCCGGCATCATCCTCACCGTCCTTGCTGTACCTGAGCCCGTCGTTGCAGCCACTGGGTCAATCCATCTCGTTGAGGGCCTTCTCTTTTCTTGCTGATCCTCTACTCTGTTAAGCCTGATAGGCTTCTCCAGGGACTATCCTTCTGACAACATGACCCACGTAGGTGAGATGAAGTCTGGCCATTCGTGTTTCCAGGGAGCATTCCAGCTGCCCTTCTTCCAGGACAGAGTTCTTCATTCTCCTGGTAGTTCATAGTAACATCAGTATTCTTTGCCAACACAACTTAAAAGCATCAACTCTTCTTTGGTCTTCCTTATTCACTGTCCACCCTTCACAGCGTATGAGGTGACTGAAGACACCATGGCGTGGGTTAGGCGCAACTTAGTCTTCAAAGTGACATCTTCATTAGCACTTTTTAAAGACTTTTGCAGCAGAGTTGCCCAGTGCAATATGACGTCTGATTTCCTGACTGCTGCTTCCATGGGTGTTGACTGTGGATCCAAGTAAAATGAAATCTTTGACTAAATCAGTCTTTTCTCTGTTCATCATGATGTTGTTTATTGGTCCAGTTGTAGGAATTTTTGTTTTCTTTATGTTGAGGTATCATCCATACTTCATCAGTAAGTCCTTCAAGTCTTCTTCACGTTCAGCAAGCAAGGTTGTGTCATCTGTGTATCATAGGTTTTTAATGAGTCTTCCTCTGATCATGATGCCATGTTCTTCACATAGTGCAGCTTCTCCAAATATCTGTTCAGAATACAGATTAAGCAAGTAAGGTGAAAAGATAAAACCCTGACGTATGCCTTTCCCGATTTTAAACTACACAGTATTCCTTGTTCTGTGTGAATGACTGCCTCTTGGTCTGTGCACAGTTTCTGCATGAGCACAATTAAGTGTTCTGGAATTCCTATTCTTCACAATGTTATTCATATTGTTATGATTCACACTGTTGAACATTTTGGCATAGTCAATAAAACACAGGTAAACATCTTTCTGATATTCTTTGCTTTCAGCCAAGATCTATCTGACATCATCAGCAATATCCCTCATTCCACACCCTCTCTGAATCCAGCTTGAATTTCTGGAAGTGCCCTGATGATGCTGCTACAACAATCATTTCTTAATTATCTTCAGCAAAAGTTCACTTGTGTGTGATATTAATGATACTGCTCGATAATTCTCACTTTCTGTTGGATCGCCTTTCTTTGGAATGGGTACAAATACAGACCTCTTCCAGTCATTTGGCCAGGTAGTCTTCCAGATTTCAGGGAACAGACCAGTGAGCACTTCCAGCACTGCACCCATTTGGTGAAACATCTCCACTGGTATTCTGTCAGGTCCTGGAGCCTTGCTTTTGGCAAAGCCTGCAAGGCAGCTTATTAGGTTGCTGATCACATGCAACCTCCTGAAATGATTGAATGTTGTCCAATTCTTTTTGCTGCAGTGACTCTGTGTATTCCTTCTTCTTCTTTTTTTTTTTTTTTTAATGATGCTTCTTGCCTCATTCAGTATTGTGCCCATAGAATTCTTCAATATTGCAACTCTAGGCTTGAATTTTTCTTCAGTTCTTTCAACTTAAGAAATGCTGAGTGTGTTCTTCCCTTTTTGGTTTTCTAACTCCAGATTTTTGCACATTTCATGATAATACTTTATACGTTAAGCTGTTCCTTTTCATTTGGAGTCATGCTGTATCAGCAAATGAAGATCCCATTTTACTTTTATCCATGTCAAAGCTTTACTCCATCCATGTCATTAAGGCTGACTCTACTTAGAAGAGGCAGGCCTTCCACAATTGTATTCTGAATGCCTTCCGACCTGATAGGCCCATCTTTCAGCACTATATCAGATAATGTTCAACTGCTATTCACAGGTTTTCAGGGGCCAATTTATTTTTATTTTTTTCATTGTGATTTGAGTGAAAGTTTATAGAGCAAATTCATTTTCCATACAACAGTTCACAGACATTTTGTTTTGTGACTGTTTGGGTTACCTAATGCTGCTCTGACATGAATATACCACAAATGGGATGGCTTGAAGAAACAGGAAATTTATTCTCTTACAGTTTGGAGGCATTAAGTCCGAGTTCTAAGGCGCTCTAGGGCCTCGGTTAAAGCCCCACAACCTTGGGCTTCAGCTCTGCCTCCTGTTCCCGGCCCACTGGAGCTAGAGGCGTTTCTTCACTCAGACAGCTGCTGGATGCTGAGGCTGAGAAGCCCCAAGGTTGACAAGTAAAAAAGCACAGTCCCAACATTACCAAACTACATGACAGGCCATTCATTCAAGTCCATTGAAAGTCCCAAGGTCGGCAGAACATGGCAGGCTGCTGAACCATGACACGGCTACATGCAGGGTTGAAGTGTGCCATAAGCTAGAGACCATTCCCAAAGCTGTTTCTTATATATGGGAAGCAGACCACATCCCCAAAGGCAGCTACTCAGCTGCTCACAGTTGATTTCACCATGGGGTTGATTACCAGTCTCATCATGGGGAATACTATATCCAGCTGCCCAGCCACTCAACCAGGCCCAGCCAAATTGACACACAAACTGAACCAACACAGTGACATTGATTGCAATCCCCATAATCTAACAGCTCTCTTCCCACTTCCTACCTGTAGTTAGTTACCTTTTCCCTGTGTCCCTCTTTCCTATGCATTCCTGCCCTCTGAACCGTGCAAATGCTGTCCATCGTATAAATGTTCACCTTCTATGCCTGTCCACTGTTTGGCTGAAAGCCATGGAAGTGAGTTCAATTGCAGGCCTGAAGGATGACTAGAGGCCACAGTCTGGTCAGTGTTTTTAGGAGGAGATCACCAGGCCCTGCTGCGCAGTCATCTTAGTCTGGAAGCTCTGCTGAAATCTGCTCACCATGGGTAACCCTGCTGGTACATGAAATACCGGTGGCACAGTTTCTCCCATCACAGCTACACACAAGCCCAAGGTCAAGGGGCTTTCACTCAGGCCCTAGAGCCTGGCACCTGGAATTTGGACTTCTAACCTCCAAACTGTAAGAGAATAAACTCCTGTTTGTTCAAGCCATCCCATTTGTGGTATGTTCTTGTCAGAGCGGCACTAGGGAACCAAAACATCAGGTCCCACACAAAATTCCTGCTGTCTCAAGAGGCAACTGGGCACAGGGCCCCGTCCCCAGAAAAAGTTCCTGCTGTTCCAAAAGGCAGCTGGGTGTAGGGTATCTGGTCTCAGAAACTAAGTTCTCACTGGCCCCAAAGATGGCTGGGTGCAGGGCCCCTAGTCCTGGACTGGTTTCTGCCAGCCTAGAAGGCAGGTGATGACAGGGCATCGGGTTCAGGGTGGGGAATTCCTGCTGGTCTGGCTGGTGAGTGGAGGTGGGGCATGGCCACACCTCCATTCACTGGGAGGTTATGAGGACAAGAGGAATATCACACCTTTCTGGTCACCACACACCAGGGCGGTTGCCCGTGCTGTCCTCGGCAAGTGGAGCCGATTACCAGGTTGCTGCCTGGATTGAAACACTGCTTGCAAATACTCAAATTGGCTGTGCCGTCAGCCCAGCTGACTGACAGCCCACAGCTCTGTTTGTCTCCTTATTCACTGTCTTCATTCAGTTTCTTTATTAGTCGGTATTTAACGGGCTTTCTTTACCCTTCCCTTCAAAGCTTGGAGTTCCAGGATTATCCTCTGTATCTGTTTCTATTCGTCTCTTGTTTCTTTGTTGTAGAGGGTCTGTAGCTTGCTTGCCTTTTGCGCCATCGAATTCAGAGTCTTTTGGTTATTGTTGTTGTTGTTGTTGTTGTTATGTGCCGTCAAGTCGGATCCGACTCATAGCAACCCCTCCTTGGGTTGCCGAGGCAGTATCACTACGGAAGTAGATTGCCCAACCTTCCTTCCGAGGAGTGGCTGGTGGGTTTGAACTGCCAGCCTTCTGG